TGATTGTTCAGCTGAAAAAACACCTTTCTGATAAATACTTTCAGTAGACAAAAACTTCATAAAACAGTTTTGAAAGTTCTGAGTCGTGAAAAATTAGCCTACTTCATCAAACTACATCATGAAGACATCTTTACATCTTTCGCAGCCTTATTTTCACCTGTGTTAAATGCAGTGTGGTGTTTAATCTGACTAAGGACATAGACTTTACTTAAGTTAAAATTGCACTTTTAATGGACATAAATAATAAATAAAAGAGCATAAAGATCTTTTCAACAAGGAAGCTTTTATAATGCAAACGGCATCTTGATATCATTTTTTGGCAGTTCAATCAATGCGTATTTAATTAATGCAGCTGATATTGCTTCCAGTTTACACTAGAAATTTTTAGAAGGTTGAAGGTTGATTTTTAGAAGGTTGAGTCAAGTGCATTGCATTGTGGGATACAGAAGCCAGAGCAGTGTGCCCTTTTGTATGGGCTACTGCACATTTTGGAAACAATTCAGGCATTTCTATGCATACAGAATGCCCCCCCACCCCTGTTTTTCCACCATGGAATAAAAAAAAATCTCACAATTCTTCCTTTCTCTCGCAATAGCGAAATTGCGGGAATTGCTTTATGGCAGAAAAAAAAAATGTAAAGGGTTGTATGTAAATGTAATTACTGCAGATATAATTACGACAGTGAATTCCACACACTTAACTGTAGGGGGCTGTAAAATCCAAAAACTCCAAAAGTACATACAGTTGTTGCATTGTCCATGCAATTGCCATTTTTTTAAAGGAGTGTCTGCTCTGCTGTTCTCAGAGTAATGGCCTTCTTGTCATATTGTGTATTAGCAGGGAGAGAATTATAGGAAGATGCTTTATTAAAACGCATCAAACAAATTGTTGAATAAAAGGAGACAATCACCTAAAAAGTATGGAAACTAGTGAACTAAAACTTTGAAACACAGTCATTGGCCGAACTGAAGACCACACGTCACATTTCCTAAGCTGTCCCTATATTACAGTCACCTCTAGCTCTCAAACATCCACGCAATCTTCTTTTGCTAGATGTGGAGCCTCAGATCACAAAAGGAGGTATTTCTCTAAAGGCAACTTAACTGGTTCTGTGTGTTGTATGATGGCGAGCCCAGACTGGAACCACATTTATTATTACAGTGGATGCTCTAAAATCTAGAAAAATAACGGAACAAGAGAATGTCTCAAGTTTTAGTAATGTACAGTTTGCTTAAATCTACTTCTGGGAACAGCCTAATTACCTCCAAAACAAAACAGTTGCTACAAAAAAGGAATGTACTTTTTTTAAAAGTACAAAACGCCCCTTTAAGCAAGTCTGCTCAAGTGTGTGGCTGTATGTGTGTGTATAATGGACTGACTGAATTCAAGGATGTATCCAAACACTCAACAACTGCTCTAACACTAATCTGAAAATTGTGCTCACTGTCCCTGGTGGTTGTATAAACCCGGCTGGAATATCACACTTCTGTTAGACTCATTGAAAAGAGGACTTACTCATGGTAACTCTCTCTTTCTCCATTTGACTGGTTGTTATTTACTTCTTTTATTAGTCTGATAACAAATGAGTCTTTGAAAGGAAAATGTACAGTATGATATGACACAACAAGATTTAACACGCTCCCAGGCAGAGCTGGATAGATTACTTATACAAATTGTAATCCGTAACTGCTTCCAAATTACATGACAAAAAATGTAGTTAGTAACATAATCCATTACATATTTTAGGTAATAGAATCAGACTACTTTTAGATTACTTTTGACCTATCTCGTTTATCACATTAATTTAGATAATCTTGTACCATAGTTATATAAAAATACGAAGAGTAAGAAAACATATTCCATTTGTTGTTATCAACAATAGGACGTGCATTAAACATTACGTCAAGTTGCTGTGTAGCCACCTGACAAGTGACTAGTCTTTGTGTAAATGTGCACAAAACTGGAAGACTTTCTGAGTGTATACAAGCGGTTTTAGAAAGGAAAATTTAAAAGATGAAAAAGAGGAATTAGGAAGATTTAATAAATTCAGAATAAAATATTTGTATTGTGTAAATAATATGTAATCATGTAATCCATATAAAAGTAACTATAGTCTGATACGAGTATTTTAAAAATTTAACTTTATTTAGCACATTTCATACACAATGGTAATTCAAAGTGCTTTACATAAAAGAAAGTAAAATAATCATAAAAAAATTATCACAACAATAAAACAAGGAATTTAAAAACTTTGAAAATAATTTAAAAATGGATTTAAAATGAATTTAAAACAGTTAAAAATAGAAAATGATTATACATAAAATACAGTGCAATCAGTTCGGA